GGGAGAGGGAGAGGGAGAGGGAGAGAGGGAGAAATAACCTAATTGGTCACAGTATTTGCCAAATTTAGTTTACAACCTGTGATTGGCTGGAAAAGCTGCCAAATCTCAGATACTTGTTAAAAAGAATATGCTCTTCAATTAGGTCACAGCTCCCTGTTATACTAACTTAGGTGCAGTGGAGGCACCTTCAACATAATCTTATTTGACAGGTTAATGGCATATCAACCAACTACAAAGAATTGATTCATGAAAGGTACATGACACAGGAAACACTTGAGAACTTTTTTTCGTTCAGTGAGAGAAATAATCACGCAAAATTTATGTGCAGCAGACATTCAATATATTCTATGTATTAAAACATGAACAGATTTTGTGTAATTATCGCCTAAAAGAATGAAAGATTGGGAAGGAGTATAAAAAGGGCTTTACCGGGCTGGTGAGATGGCTCAGTGGTTAAGGGCACCTACTCCTCTCCCAGAGGTCCTGAGTTCAGTTCCCAGCAACCACATGGTGACTCACAACCATCTGTAATGGGATCCGATGCCCTCTTCTGGCGTGTCTGAAGACAGCTGCAGTGTACTCATATACAATAAAAAAATAAATAAATAAATAAATAAACTTTTTAAAAAAGGGACTTTACCTGAACTTTTAATTTTGTGGAGGGAGTGCATGCATATGCACACTCACAAGTGTGTGTGTGCCTATGTGAAGGTCAGTGGTCAGCTTTGGGTATGTTCCGCTTTCACTCTCCACCATGTGTTTTGAGACAAGGTCTGTCACTAAACCTAGAGCTCAGGGTTCATCTTGGCCAGCTCTGCAGGAAGTCCCTTTGATCTTCTGGTCCCTTCTCCATCTTCATCCAATTCCCAGACACATGCCAACTCGCCCAGCTTTTCTCTGGATTCTGTGGATCTAAATTCAGGTTCTTCTACTTACACAGAAAGCACTTTACCCATTGAGCTGTTTCCCAAGCTCTGAACTTTTACTGTATTATTCTTAATTTTTGTTTAGTTTTCTAAGGTTTATTTTTATTTCTGTGTATGTATGTGTGCTCTGTATGTGCACGCTGTGTGTGTGCAGATGTCCATAGAAGCCAGAAGTGGGTTTTGGATCCTTTGTACGTATAGCTGTGGCCACCCTTCAACCAAACTCAGGTCCTCTGTAAGAGCATTGCTGAGTCATCTCTCCAGCCCCAGTACTTTATTTTTCAAATGAAAGAAGCTCAGAGAGCGATAGAGGAGAAGCAAAATATATGAAGCAAATATAAAAGGTAATGTTCTGTTGTACTGGGTAGCAGTTATGCTAATAACTAGCATTTACTGGACATTTAGTAAATAAATACTAGGAGTATTCTAAGATCAAGTAC